GTATTAAATATCACATTTATGCCGACGACACGCAATTGTACACATCTTTTAGTCCGGAGGCTGCCGCAGAGACAGTTCGCAACTTAGAAGGTTGTATTGATGATGTTCATAGATGGCTGTCTATCAATATGCTTTGCTGCAATACAGACATTAATTATGTCATCATCAGGAATGATTCCTGATGATGACATAATTAATGTCGAAATATTGAATCCCAACACGATGGCGTGTATTTCAATACTTGGAGTATGTATTATACTTTCTTACTACTCTAGTATTGTTGCTTTTTATTGAGTAACAAAAGATTGAATCGATAGCATGAATCGTGTACATATTTTGAGTATAATTAATGAAGAAACGAATATCATATGTATGTAATACTTCAGTGGAGAAAAACCAATTTTCAACCTATATAAATTATATATATATGTATACATAATTAAATATATATGGCCTATAGGCCTATATAAATTATGATATAATAGATAAAATCCAAACTAGCTTTATATATAATAAGAAACGAATACCATACTTTACTGGAGAAGAACTTCAATCTATCGAACGCTTTGTTTAGAGCAATGGTTTTATTATATTTTTATGATGTTTACAATTCTTAATGTGATTTCAATTTTTTTTTTAATAGTTATTTTTTAAGTAGTTTTATAGTGTGTGTAGGTCTATATATAAAATGAAAAAAAGGGCCGATTTAACCTGCCGGGCCGAGTTGACTGGGCCTAGTTGACTCGAAGGATTTGTATTTAGCGAGCGGTATTGTATTATTAATTGTGAATGCGTCATCGGCGTTCCATACATATACACGCATTGGCAGCCGTTCTGGAGGGCGGCCGCTATAGGTAGCGGCCGATATGGGCCTACTCCGGCCCGAATCCTACTCCGGCCCTATGTAAAGTTTGTCTATGTTGGTCTGAATGCGTTCGTTGATTGCGGACGGGAGTAATCAGTTTTGGATTACCACCGATTACATCGCAACCGATCGCAAAAAAAGCCTCATAAAATATAGAGTTGCGACATGAGACGCTGCTGGGTAGCCATCTTGGTGCCTTGCATGCATGAGTGACCACAAAGCCTATGCTACAGTTTGGCGATTGCAAAAATAATAGACAATTGAAAAAAAAAAAAAAAAAAATATTAAGAAAATTTTATGTCATTTGTTAGTAAATATCTGTTAATCAACATGTGTTTTAAATTTATAACAAAATTCCAAAAGAAATTGATTCTCAATATGCTGTTATTAATTATTATATTACATGCAGTTTTTGCTTGACCAAAATTTCATAGCGCCTTAGCTAGGCGTACAACATCGCGTATACTTACATATATACACATATATACATACTTACATATATACTTATATATATATATATATACACACTTATATATACACTTACTTATATATACATATATACATACTAATATATATATATATACACCTATATACATACTTACATATATACATATATATATACATACATATATACTTATATATACACACTTATATATACATATATACATACTTATATGTACACACATATATACATACTAATATATATACACATATATACATACTTACATATATATACATACTTACATATATACTTATATATATATACACACATATATACACTTATATTCTTATATACGTCTATATATACACTTATATATATACTTATATATATATACACTTATATTCTTATATACGTCTATTATACACTTATATATACTTATATATATGTAATAATAAAGACATTGATAAAATCAAATGAAACGGTTGACGTGAATGTTGAGAAAGTCCTGAGGACAGGACGAAATATTCGTGTGCAATAAAATACTTATGTTCCTCCAATACGTCAACCGTTTCATTTGATTTTATCAATGCAGGGA